CTCCTAGTAGCGATGCCAGGAACCCCTAGTAGCGTCCTTGCTCCTAGGAGCGATGCCAGGAGCCCCTAGTAGCGTCCTTGCTCCTAGTAGCGATGCCAGGAGCCCCTATGGCGTCCTTGCTCCTGGGAGCCCTAGTAGCGTCCTTGCTCCTAGTAGCGATGCCAGAAGCCCCTAGTAGCTGGTAGCGTCCTCGCTCCTAGTAGCGATGCCAGGAGCCCCTAGTAGCGTCCTCGCTCCTAGTAGCGATGCCAGGAGCCCCTAGTAGCGTCCTTGCTCCTAGGAGCGATGCCAGGAGCCCCTAGTAGCGTCCTTGCTCCTAGGAGCGATGCCACGAGCCCCTAGTAGCGTCCTTGCTCCTAGTAGAATTCAGAGAGTTTTCACGTGAACACAAAAATGAGTTTGGCTTCGCAGGGCACACTTGCGCCGATGCTTTGGCCTCGGTTGGAAGGTGGGCCCCGCTGGGCCGTTCTTTTTTGGGCAATGCACAAAGCTGATGAGGGATTGAGCATAGATTCAAGTAAGCTTCTAGTATATAACTGGATGCAGGATAGCTCATGCTTCTTCAAATAAAGAAGCTTCCCACGCCTGAGGACGGGGGCAAGCTTCCTTGAAGAAGCGCTCGCACTAATCATTTGGTTCCTAGACGTTTAGACAAAGTATGCATTCTACTTGGGTGACTTGCGCAATCATCTAGAGTGGGCCAAAGTGTTACCTGTAGTCTTGGCATTTTATCTAATTAGCAGGAAAGACATCCTCTTGCGAGCTCCAAAATACTGTCTACAGACTCTACAGACACAGTTAGACACACATACACTTGTGTGTTCATCTATCATTCAGACTTGTTGCTCGCATTCACAGATTGGCTGCCCTTGACGTGTTAGAAGCACAGTTGGAATTCTGTTTGCCAGATGAAGCCCTATTTGATTCGAGTTGTCAACAGGCTTTGCCACAAGCCACAAGTATCCAATTTGGTGGCCTCAGCCATTTGTGCTCCAGCAACCCAAGCCAGCGCTTTGTCATTCAATATGGTCAAGCAAGGTTGCTTGTCTAAAGCAGCCGTTTAAAGCAGCCTCCACACCTTTCGTTCTTTGATTCTGTTTGATGCTCGTTGCCCAAGGCAGTTGCGCCAAGACTCTGGATGCATTGGGTTCTTGGAGTGTGAACTTGGCAACTCTTTTCAGTGACTATTATTTCCATGCTTGGCACATCTTGGCACCATTTTGGGGACTCAGCCTTTGTGGAAAGGCCAAAGAAGGGCGATCTAGACCTCGGAAGTTTGTCTTTTGCTCCGAGATGACCTGAGACCAAAGAGTGCCGTTTTTGGTGTTCTTTTTTCATCCACGACCCTCCTAAATTCAAGAAAAGAGACAACGTATGTTCGATGCAGTTTTCGCGGGGCCCTCCGTCTCGACAGAGAGGCATTGAGCCGCCGAACCGGAAGCTCTTGTCGGCCGCGCTGCGGAAGGCCGCAGAGAACACGGAGACTTGGACAAGACGAGGACTTGTACGAGTCTCCTTTTTGAACGATGTGTCAGACAGAGAACAAGCTTTACACAGCTTGCTGTGAATTTTACACAGCTTCTTGTTTGACATTGCGCAATGGCGTTCCAAGTTCTTATGAGGTTTGTGGGCCTGTGGGCGGTATCAAATTACAACGGTTTACATGTTCCATTCTTTTATGTTTTTCATTTGGATTTATATACTAGACATTACTAGACTATATATATATGTATATACTGTAATTTGTAATTGTATATTTGATTTCGTTGGACTATGGTAGTTCGAACACCTACTGTTAGGGTTTTCAATCTGCGTTGTCTTGGAAGAAACTGAGGCGAACGTCCAGTTCGTGGAGGTGCGCTCTGAGATGATGATCAAACGAGAACATGCTGCGAGCCAGGGTCGTCAGCGGTGAGGCAGGCGATTGCCACTGGAGGATTTCAGCCGAAGCGGAAGTGACGACCATACCACTGGTCACTGGAGGTGTTAGCTATGGCCGTCAGGACTGGCTTTATCTTGACTTTGCTTAAATTTGGATGACTCAATTAGGCGTGAAAAAGAAGTCTTGAAGGATAAGTTGAATCGCTTGGTTGACTCAAGCTGCAAATGTTCACAATGTCAGGATCCCGGCAGAGACTCTTCGTGAGACCTTCGCGACTATTACTTCTTTCCTCCAACCGATCTAGCGCCCAGCGTGTCGTAGAATGTCGTAGATACAATCAAAACAGCATTCCATTCAGGAGAAGCAATATCGGTATAATAGTAATCACCAATAGAACGTTACCATGTGCAGTAGCCTTGGTGTTTTGGTTTTCACCTGCAGACAAAAGGATGACCCGGAATCCTCTTGATTTTTGGACATTTTCCATTTTAAACCGTGGACGTTTGGCAGTTGGCCGAACGTTTCAAGGATTGCAGAATTCAGGACAATTTGGAACTCTTGTTTAGCGGGCTATCTTGGCAGGCTTCGGCTTAAGCAACCAATGACCAAGGCCGAGCCTTTGTGTGACCTGTGCAACTGCAGGCTGCTTTTGCTGGTTTACCAGCCCGGCTGCGGTGCGTCTCGCAGCCCGCTTGTAGGCTGCAGTGACTCTCTCCCTACGGAGGATGTTCTGCAGATGACCATAGCCTCGCTGAAGGAGCTGCCACGATGACTCGACGATGTGACTGTAATGATACAGCGATCTTGAGACGCTGCACCGTACTCTAAGCTTCTTCAAAGAGTGGATGGAGAGATTGACACTTGAGTTGAGAGATCTCAGTGCCCTCTCTGATCTCCGCCAATCGAGATCTCGACCTTTCGGCGTGCGCCAAACGCGCCCCGGCCAAAGCCTTGCTCGATGATTGGAAAAGTACTGAGGCGGTTGCTGCATTTATTCACCAAAGGAGACATGAGTACCTAGGACGCTACTAGGGGTTCCTGGCCTCACTACTAGGAACAAGAAGCTACTAGGGGTTCCTGGCCTCACTACTAGGAACAAGAAGCTACTAGGGGCTCCTGGCATCGCTACTAGGAGCAAGGACGCTACTAGGGGCTCCTGGCGAAGTCTGGCGAAATCCCTGCGATCAGAACAGCAATCTCTCGCTGCAGGGATCCTCCTGAAGATTGCGGCTGTGCGGGATCTTAACGGCCCTTTGTGGATCGCGCATGCCAAAGCTATTGGAAACGCTCACCTGCAAGCTTACTTTCAATGAACCATTGCAATACATAAGTTGTATAAACCACACAGCAGGGCTTAATTAAGGAGCAAGCAAGACCATTTTCCTTCAACTTATCTATCAATGCAATGAGATGCAGTGAGCAGGAGGGTGTGGGTGGTCTTAAGGCAAGTGCAATGATTTCGCTTGCGACTTGCCAGCAAACCAGGCAATGGGCAGGGCTAGGGGCACGGAGCGTTAGACGGGAACATGCCCTGGAAGACGAGATGTTGGCAATTACCGTGGTCAATCAGACCACTACACTATTCTCAAGGGCAATAGACGACAATGCAATCAAACATCATGGGGGTTGAAGCAACGCCTGGAAATTGCAGATCAAAGCTGTGTTTGCTTGAATTCAACAGGGACTGCAAGGCTCCACACCTCAGTTGTAGAAGTACTTGAGGTTGTTATATGGTTGTTCCGGCCACTTGCATCAAGCACACATGTGGCTTCACATACTGTAATGTCCCCCCAATAATTCAATTCTTGCGCCTCACTTCCTGGCAAAAAGCTATCATATACAATATACATACATTTGTACTCTTGCTCTGAGCCTAAGTCTATAGTCTTTTGTGTTTGAGTGGTAGATGTTACAGTGTCCAGCACAACGGTGCTCTCTCATGGCTAGAATTGACGCAACAAAGGACACTCTGGACCCTTTACTTTGCTTAGCCAACGAAACTGGGACATAAGACTAGAGGGTCAAAAGAACCATTACTAGCAGTAACAAGAAGCTATTAGTAACAAGTGCATCGCTTCTAGTAACAAGTGCCTTACTACTAGTAACAAGAAGCTATTAGGTCATGGCTGCCAACGATCTTGTGACAAATCATGAGACTCGCGAGATCCATGAGAGCCCCATGTTTGGCCTTGCTGTCTCCTGCATTGGCTGCATCTGTGCTGGACTGTGGCGCTTTGCGTGTCCATCAGTATCTCAGCAGCACAAGACACTCATTGCACGACAGTGCTACGAACGTATCCCCAACACCATCCCAAACTGGTTTATTGAATGGAGTTCTCCAAAGCACAGCCAACTCTTGAAGCCTTGGTTTGGAGGAGGTACCCTTGTTCATCTCCGTATTTTCTTTCTTATAACATGTGAGATTTATGCCTTAGCCAGGGTCAGTCATGAAAGCAACCCACATGGAGTGATCAATGCCAATGCTGCAAATTCTATTTGCATCTAGTTGGGTGAGCGCAGAGGCACGTTGACAGGGCTTGAAAGCTTAGGTTGCAGCTGGGAAACATGCAAAACTATCAGCAGCTGGTCAGAAGCTTGTGCAGCCCAGGAGGTGACGTAATGTGACGTAGTCAGACGTAGTTAGACGTGGGTTTCTTTTTTGTTGTTTCTGGCCACTCTTACTTAATTAAGTAGGCGCCTACTTAACTAAGTAAAGAGGTACGCTCCTAGGTAGGACCTGGTAGGACGCAGGATAGTGCTCGCACTATTCATTTGGTTCCTAGATGCATGCGCGCTTGCATGTGAATTGCTAGGTTTTTTGTAGTTCCAAGCCATGCTCAGACCACCGAGTACAACAAGGCGAATTAAGCCCAGTAACATGTTTGCCTGTCATATATTGCACAAAGCTTGCCGAGTGTTTGAGGTATGTGCTGGACAATGGTGAAGTTGCCATCACGGCTGCCTGCCAGATGTGCGTTAAAGAGAAAAACTTGGATGTAGTGTGCTTTTGTGTATTTTGATTCAATTAGATTCGCTCGTTTTGTGCACGATATGAGGTGGATGCAGCCTGGGACATTGGGAAGATCCGAAGATACATCGAGAAGATGGACCTTAGGTGAGGTGTTGGCAGACAAAAGCACATGTTGGTTTCGTTTCGCTTGCCACCTGGAAAGGTTGATTGGTGGCCTTTACACTCATGGCCACTTTGACCACATCGGTGGAGCTTTTCCAGGAGTGGACATGACATGTTGCAGCAGACCTGTTCAATACGAAGAGCTTGGTGGTTGCAGCCGTTTCAGCGAAAGATAACAAGATGAACTCTTAGAGTCTTAGAGAAACAACAAGTGCAACCACAACCACGCCACAACAATTGCTGAAACAATCGAGAAGGCACAAGAGTAAAGATGGACAACACATGACAACACAATATGTGATGGTAGCAGAATCTTGCGGGCCTGCAAAATGATTTGTCCATCGATTTGTGCTGCTGAGAATCCCTGTTTAACAACCAGAACCTGATGAATCTATTCTTGAGCTGTGGCTTTGTGACCGTGCATTTGAGTCATGGTAAAGCATTTGGTTAGAAAGCTCAGGTCGTTAGATCAACAACAACAACAGCAGCAAAACCACAGCCGTTTGTTTATAAATCTTGTACTTATGCAAGAACATGTCCACTTAAAACACAGCTTGAGCTTGCTTATTTTTGACATATGCATGACTTGAAATCATTGCTGCGCAGTGCCTCATAGTGGGAAGAATGCATCGCTGGCTCATTCTTCATCCTAGTGGCCGGCCACTTTTTGAACTTGCTCTTTGTCGAGCCCTTTTCTCTTCCACACCTGCTTAGTGTAAGCAGTGAGTTGTTGCAACAGTGAGCTTAACATCTGCTACCAACTGGACATGTGAACCGTGATACAGTATACGTCTAGCCTGAGTCTTGATGAGAAAGCGATAAGAACTGTTGCATATTGCCCAAACTCTCTAAAGTACGATACGGACTTTTTGGACTAGTGATTTTGCAAGGAGTTTGATGGAGGCTACTAGGGGCTCCTGGCCTTACTACTAGGAGCAAGGATGCTACTAGGGCTCCTGGCCTCGCTACTAGGAGCAAGAACGCTACTAGGGCTCCCTCGGCGAGGATCCAGTGGACCTCCTGTTCAAGGCGCTGCACAACTTCAGGAGAGTAGGAGTAGACCTGGAGAGCAAGGCTTCAGGAATTCAAAAGCCACAAAGATGTTTTGTTGTGCCTTGGTCACTTGGTGATTGGTGCAGGATAAGAATAACCCATGCTCACCCCAAGCACTGAGCGAACTTAGAATTGGAGACATTGACCAATGAGCTAGACATAAAATCAAACAATTGCAGCTGGGAGGACCTTCCTCTTTACCTGGGAACCAATGATATCGAAGCGGCTACGCTACAAACCAAGCTGGATGCATCAAGGTGGCACCCATTGAAAGAAGGCAGCAGAAGGGTGGGAACAGAGAGTTACAATGTGCACATGTTCCATGCCATTGTCCGCCTCTACTGTTTTCTTAAGCTTCGTTTGGCGAACAACCTGGTCCAGCTTGGAAAAACCCAATAGTGATACAGTGATAAGACATGATGCAGGTGGCCTTGCTGTTGTTCAATCAATGCCACATTTTTGTTGCAATTCTTGGAGCTGGGGACGGGAACTTGTTGCAAGGTGACACGCTCCCACTACTTGGCGATAGAGTTCAGATTTGGGTGCCACTCTACTTGCATTGAGGTTCTGAATGGACCTAACTGTTGCATCATTTGACTTGAGAGTTTGTTTTGAAGCGTCGCAAGACAAACAAGTCAGTCGCATTCACGATGCTTTCTTGAGTGGCAGAGCTTCACAGCGTCAGTAAAGCAGACCAAATTTGATGTTCGTTTCCAGCCAGCTGAGGCTCGACACGCCCGGCCACACTTTAGGTGCGGTACTCCATGGGAGCTCGATATTAGCTTCAGCTTGGAACAAGATGTGGATGCATGGCATATGAGGAATATACTGTATATGGAATGATTCTTCGTAGTTAAATCTCTATCTCAGGGTTTATTGTCCCACCCACAGCTTCGAAACAGGGAGAAAATTTAGGCTACATGTCTTGAGCCGGCTGGACTGCCAAGTTTGTCAAAGCTTGGACGGCCCAGGAGGTGTCACCTTTTGGGTGCAGGGAGATCTTGAAGATGCATGTGGGGAAGGCCTCAGAGTTTCAGAACTTCAGGTCGTCATGCCAGAACTTGGCATGAAAAGAGCGTGTCATACTGCCACATTGCCACACTGCCACACAACAAGTGTTTTGTTTTCCGATGAAAGGCTTGCTTTTGACGGGTGACACACTCTTCTTGACGAATGTGGGGCGCACTGACTTGCCTGGAGTCTTGGTGTGAATCTAATCCGTGGAGTCTTGGTGGAGACCTTGAACTCTTTCAGACGACATAGCCGCAGAATAAATCTCCAGCTGGCCGGCAAGTTCACACTTCAAACAAACAAGCAAAGACCTTGATGAGTTGAACACACAAGGCTTTGGTGTTCTGAAAGCATCTGAAAGCTGGGAATTCTCCATGAAGTTCTTCCGTCTTGCAACGCACGCACTGTCTCGGCCATCTCCGTACTTTGCAGCCAACTGCCATTGAATGCTGACAACTCTAAAACTAACACATACACATGTGTGTACTTATCATAAACGGATCTGTATACGTGACAATATCCTCTCAATGACAACTGTTGTAGGAAGCATGACAGGTTGTGCCAGGAGGATCACCACATTTACATGGGGATGAGGATTATTTGGATATTCTTTTGCTTTTGCTTCAAGAGCCTCTTGTCCTTCGCCAGATTCTCCCCCAGGTGGTGACATGAGGACTCTGGAACGCAGCCTGGCGCGCCTGAGTGGGGCGGCGGACCGTGCCCAAATCCTGCCTGGGCATAGCCTCGTGGTACAACGGGCCGATGGGTACGGGTCCGTTGGGGTCAGGGAATCCATCATAAACCCACTCGCCAAGATGAACAAGCACACAAATCCACCATAAAGGGTTCCTTGCCGACCATGATGATCAATCAGTTTTTGGTGTGTTGCTGTCAAACTCGACCAGATGTTCTTTGCTTTGAGAATGAATTGTTTCTGAACTCGCAACTCGCTTCTTTGATCAGCTTCTTCACAGTCACAGCTGAATTCATCTCACTTCTCTCCCTTGGGGTTTCTATGTCACCTCACTCATTCTGATGAAGGGTAGAAGGAACCAAGAGTTCTGACACTGCTCAGGTGTCCCACTTTTTGCGGCGATGTTTTCTAGTTGGCGTTCGTTTGCAAACAGGTCACAATGCCAAGTCTAGTGAAAGTGAACGCGTCATATCCTTCAATATTTATACAAGGGCACCGCTGCCAGCATACAATGGCCTAGGCTATGATGCGCCGCCCAAGCGACAAGATTTGGCAGTTGTGCGCAAGACCAATGCTGCAATGAAAGCTGCTGTGGCGAGGCAAAGGAACCTACGAGTTAAGGAGTGCATAGGGAAAGGACAGTCAGTACAGCACATGTCTAAGATGTGCTTCGAGACGGCTGGAGTGCCGTGACTACTCACTTCACACAAGGCCATGGTACTGGATAGTACTGTTGGCTTGGAATCTACCCACTTGCCAAAGGTGGATTTGGATGATTGGGTATGATTTTAGCAAGCTTGCAGCACTCTTGACAATAGCTGCTGTTGCACTGCCTGAGCCAACAACTTAGAGTCTAAGAGGTAGGTCTTGTTGCCCTTTAATCGTCTTCAATGCACACAAACGACCATGGATGGCAGGTATTCCTCTGGCCTTTCACCATTGCCCTGGCTACGCTCCAAAGACGAGCTCTGAAAAAGCTGCTCATTGAAACAATGGCGAACTGCACTGTTCATCCCTGTTAATTTTGCCCCAAACTTTCCGATAGGCTGGGCATCAATATTGTGGACACATTGGCTGCGCATTTTTTTTGCCAGACAAAACAATCACAGAAACCTTTGCTGGTGTGCAGAAGGACAGGTTTTTTAACGCAATCGTCCAGAGAAATCCAGAGACAGCTGAGATTCTGTGGTGTGTTTGCAACTGCAAGACCATGTTTGCCACCCCAGTGCGCGTGCACTACTGTAATACTTACCGCAAAAGATTGTGAAGGTACAAACGTCATATACATGCAGTTGTTCTTGTCAGTGAGTTAGTGATTCAGCAAGAGTCTCGTCCTTTAGATGGCCTTTGCGATCCTTAAGTGAGATAGGCTGCGTTGAGACACAAGAACGGAAGAACGGTACCTGCAACAGATGAACGCAGACAGATTATGACAGACACATCACTGTTGAACCGCTGCCAGCATACATGTGCCATGTCGCTGCTTTGCAAAAGATGTATTATTGTCCCAGGCTGGTGAAACTCATGAAGCACTTGCTTCATCCGCATGAATAATCGGTGTGTTACTCAAGCTCGATTGTTGAGCTCCCTCGAGCAGGGAATGGATGCACGAATGCAAAGAAAAGTAACTGGTATGGCCGTGCGCAAGAAGAACTTACGAAGAGCCTTGATTTAGACACCGCTTTGCAAGTGTTGGCAACTCACGGTGCTTGTTGCGGGAAGCTTGTCAGGGAATGCTAAAGACTGCCACCCACATTCCAAATGCTTAACCGGCTCGTCGAATCATTCATCACTAGTAGCAGATTGGCTTTACTGACCGCATCATACCGCATCAATCCATTTGCCTTAAATCGCTCTCAGATAAAACCAAGGACTGGACTGTTCAAGGAAGTGATCGTTGAGAACATGCCAGATCCACATGTAGCTCGTGAAAGTGTTTGGCTTCCGTTTCTGCAGAAGTGCTTCGTATGCAGAGACACTGTTTCACTTGCTGTTGACATCCAGGCGTAGTTCGATTGGCACCTGACCATAGTTGAGGCAAACGCTATAGTATATATAATTAGAAGATGTGCTTCAGTTTACACAAGCTCGAAGATTGGACACCTGTCAATATTAGCGGCAGTGCACCCTGTAGGTTCTAGGAAGAGACCCTAACAACAACCCTCTCGCTACTGATTTCCAACTTCCTAGCCTAGGAAAGTTTTAAAAAGGTATCATGAAAGTCGGAGTGAAGGTAGTTCTGGTGTGCAAAATTACACAAAGTCCGTCCGGCAAGGCTTGGTGCAGATGAAGACGCTGTGCTGATTGGACTGGGGGTTGATTGCAACCGCCCACAATTCCATGCTTCTATGAAGCAAACTACCAACAAGGTTGTTGAGCTTGTTGCAGTGACGGGGAACTCAACAGAGTGATCATGTGATTGCAGGTATTCCTTTCTTTTGCCGTTCATTGCTGCTGCAAGTGCCAAGATCAGCGGTTGGTCACCTGCAGGACACTCCAGTGGCGCAGAAGCAACGATGCGTCTCCTGGAAAAGCAAAAGCTTCGGGGAGCTGCGCCTGCTCTGAATCATGCGAAGGGATGTTGGGGTACTGTTACGGTAGATGCGCTGAATCATCCGACAATTATATAGGTTTGAGTTTTGAAGGATGCAGTCCCTGCAAACTTTGTGTTTCCAGCTTCATTTGCATTTTGGCTTGGGTCGTTTGATCCAAGGTGTTGGTTTCAGCTTGCCACACTGATTTGGGAGATGCTCCGTGGCTGCACCGTGATGAACAGACGGCAAAGCGCACACAGACAGACTGCATTTGAGGAGAATGAGAGGGCATCGGGATACTACGATCGCCCTTGGGCACCTGAGACCGAATTGGATAACTTTAAAGATGTTAACCCCCCCTAGAAGGTCGTTTTTTGAGTGTTTCTGAATGCAAAGGCCACACAGGCAAAATCTTCTTCAAGTGTTTTGCTCTGCCTATTTAAGATTTTGTTTTGCGTGTGTTTGTCCATCGGCTTCATAGACACAGCTTAACTTGAGGCTCCCTGTTCAGGTCAATTCTGTTTTCTTGATCTTTCCCTCACATAAAATGGTGAAGAGAGGCTTTACAGCACCTCCATGTTTGATGAGACCGGTGCGGCTGCGGCAAAAATATCAATACACCTCACCCCACTTTGCCAAATCCAACATCAGGAATGGACAGCCATCGCTGAGAATGCAGGCTCGTACAGTACAGTACACTACTGGATTGCTGTGATGTTCTCAACTTGGCCAGTTATTGATTGACTTTTACTGTTGTGATTGCAGTAGGATGTTGATTCTCAGTAGCTGTGGATTTGCCACAAATCCATGCAACACATACACTACTTGCTCGAATGCTTCTCATTGGACCCGCAGGCTTTATCCTGCAGTGGCATTCTACTGACGATCCCTTTATCCCGATCTCAGAGGCCCGACATGTGGCCGAGAGCTTGGGAGTTTCTTGGAGACCAAAGTTGCACCGAGAACTTGTTGAATGCACTAGTCACAAGCTGTCAATCGGAACACCCAACTTGCTTGGACATCTTTTTTTTTTGTGTGTGTGTGTGTGGGAATGTAATTTTTTGAACTCACCAGTGGCTGAAGCAAAGAAGCAGCGTCTCTTGTTTAGCCTTGAGCCATGAGGAGTGTCTTGAGTGTCGAAATGTGATCGAATAGTAGCTTCTTGTTACTACTAGTAAGGCCAGGAGCCCCTAGTAGCTTCTTGGTCCTAGTAGTAAGGCACTTGTTACTACTAGCGTCCTTGTTACTACTAGTAAGGCACTTGTTACTAGAAGCGATGCACTTGTTCCTAGTAGCTTCTTGTTACTACTATATCGAAACTCCCCTTTTCTCAAGTTGGAGGCAGATAGACCGACCAAGAGACTTTGTCATTCATGGCGGCATCATGCGGCAACCAAGGAAAAATGTGAATACATTGAACACGAGCATCTCGGACACAGTGAATGTGGTGTTGGCACGGCGACAACACAGTTTAGCAAGAGTTCTTAAAGTCACACCCAATGAGAGTCCAACTTTGCTTCCTGAGGAAATCTTCGCACTTCTTCAAGTGGGATGTCTTTGGAAACGAACTCCTGGAGAAACTGATGATGCGACCCAGCAGCAAAACGCTGCACTTATCTGGCTAGGGCTAGGGTCTTTGGCAATGTGTCTAAAGCATCGTCCCTCACATGAATTTTGGTGGTGTATACGCTTGGCGCTGCCTCATGTTCTGGGCTGGGAATGGTTGGTTTTAGCCAGGAAACTACAACCCGCCGAGTCTGTGGAGGCTTTGGTTGTGGAGGCTTTGGTCAGTTTTGAAGGTTTTGCGTCCGTCTTAATCGTCAGTCAACGCATTTGTCAACGTGAGCGACTGCGAATCACCTGCAAGCATCTAATAGGTTGAGGCTCTCAGCTATGCCACCATCTATCCAGTGGCTTTGCCTGACACACGCAATCTGTGAAATTTACTCATAAAACTTAGTCCAAAGACTTTCTGCGGCCCCAAAGCATTTGGCAACATCATTGCCTGAAAGGCAAAGTTGCGGACTTTGGCTGGCCTTTTGAGCCGATGTGAGACTCATCACAAAGGGAAGTCTCCCGCATGCAGTGTCTTGAGAAGGGCCATTTGAAGCTTCTTCTGCTGCTTTGGGACCTGTCACTATGACACATATATGCACTCGTCCAGGCCGATGCTGGGACAAGCTCGAGTTGCTCGGCATCTTTCTAACAGCTTGAGTCTCTCGGGCAAGGGGGGTTAAACACCATCCAAGAAAAGACTGCCTCGACAAGGACGATTTAGCTTCATGCTTCTTTCAAGTTGTGTGGGACTGCAGGTACTCCAGTGGAAGACACTTGGCTCACCGAAAGCGACATGAGTCATTCAGTCCACACACACACACACAGTAAGCGGGTTCTTAGTAGTAGCAAAGGGTAAGATGTATAAAGTATATACACAGCAAAGTCATAGACCCAACTTGCAAAAGGCATTATCTTCACAAGATTCTCACAAGGCAAGTGTGCCGACAAAGCCCCAAAGCAACTCTCTTCAAAATTCTTGGAACTGCCAACGAAGTCTGAGGCTGCAGTCAGCCGAGAAGCTACGTGAATGGTGGCGGGAAAAAAATGGATGTGATATGGCGAGCAAGCGGTCTCCGGTCTCCCCTGGGTGAGAAGTTGAAATGGCTCCAATGCCCCAATGATGCCTTTGAAAACCATTTGTTCTTCTTTGGAAGATTCAGGTGCTTGAGGTGCTTGTAGGTTTCTGAAGCTTGGACTCAACGATCTCAAAGCAAACAAAGGTTTATGTCTTCCGCCGTCCACTCGAGTGAGATCTAACCGCCTACTGTTCAGGCGGTGTACATCAACAACTGCCAATGGGGCTTGCATGGCCCCATCGAGGTGCGGAAGTCAACCGCGGACTTGTGGCTGAGAAAGAACACGAGGAATTGATGGGAGCTTGCTAAGAGATGCTTTTCTGTAGGCAAGGCGATGATGCGAAGCAATTTGGGTTTGTAAAGTTCGTGGGTTTACTTACTTAATGACAATGGACCATGGAGCTTTGTGTGGATTCGATTTGTTTGTTCTGATCCAGGTCTTTAGCAGAAGATGCATCGCCACGTACATCGCTGGCTTGTAGGGGCCTTGGTGCAACGACTACTGGCTTGGTGCCAGGGTGCTATATAGGTGTATTGATTGATGCATCACAGATGCATCACAGATGTCCTGCATTTGTTCCAGTCTTGGAGCTCCTTGTAAGAACGAGCCGAGGCCCATTTGCTCCAACCTGCTCTACCACGCCTGGGGTGAGGACATATTTGTTGACCAGTGTATGATTGACGGGACCTCAGCAGAGTATCCTTTTCAGTTGGGCATGTGCTCGGCTGTTTGGCCATACCTCAAACAGAATAACTGCCGCATGCTCCTGACATGTGTTTCACCTGAATACATCGAAAGTAGGATCTGCTATCCTACTCCCTTGACCTGCAAGCCTTCTCGTCCCAAGGAACTTGGTCTCACACGGGTCAATGAGTTTGACGTCATGAGTGAAATAGTCAAGACCTTGGATGCTCAAACGAGTCTTGTGTATGAACAGCGTGCAGTGCAGTGTCTAAGTGCATGATTGCAGATAGGACAAACTGCTTGTGATGTTTGGAGTTCGCGGAGGAGAGTGGTTGTTACTACACCTTAGGGACTCTTCTGGTGGCGTTGACCAATCATCACCCAAGGGCCAAAGAGGCCCAAGAGGCAATGTGTGTTCAAAGTGATTTACACATTTTTCTTGAGCACGGGTTATCGAATCACTTCAAGACATGTTTTTGCTTCAATTTGCCCTACTTGCCCAAGAGAGTCATCGAAACCAGCCGACTGCTAGGTACACAAGCAAGGATAGGATTGATCCATATTGACCCCATGCTCCATGAAGCTTCTTACACCTGCCTTTGGCTTCTCAGAGTGGTCGCGGGTGCTTCCGATGTCTTTGCCACATTTGCCATGCCCGACCGCCCTGCCATGTGTTGCAACTTGCAGAACCCGACGATGGATGCGGCAAGAATGCAGACAACATGTGACGACACACATTAATGCCAAATTAATTGGCAAAGGGAGCGACCTTACTCTGTCTCTAACTGGCGCCAAACCCTGGCCTCAAATCAATGGTCGTGCATTCCGCAGAGCTATTGGCTTCTGTCGCTGGCTTTTTTTCTTTGGTGCCTTTTGGCTTTGTCGGCCCATCCAAGCCCCTTTACCAAGAATAAAGAACAAAGGACAACCAAGGGAGTGGGGCCAGACAAGTTCAAAACCGTTTTCTTCGGGGAGTCCAGTACGACCTAATGCAAACAATGCTGGAGTGGCTGACTTGGAACATCGAGCTCTATGAACGTTGTGACTGTGATCAGTTTATCCAGAGAATCTATGTGTTCACTCCGAAAAGAGCAAAACACCTGTCAGTGGGCCGGTGCTTCTTGGTTTAACACCTATGCTACTGCTACTGCTGCGACTCCCACCACCATAGCCGCCACCGCCGCCGCCACCACCACGACTTTGAAGTAATTAAGACAACTTTAAGCTTGGAAACAGCAAGGAGAGACGTGAGATGTAGTCTGCTACGGTCTGAGGCTTGTGGTGATCAACCCGCACCTTGTGGCCAAACGGACACCACCTTCCATCCTTTCAAGAATGCCATTCACCCAGTTAGCCGAAGTCAACGAAGTAGCAAGCATTGGTGAAGAAGAGTGTGTGTGGCTTCAAAAGGTACCGGTTCTTGATCAATTTTAATTACAGTCTTGAATGGGTTTGGTTCAGCAAACTTGTTTGGAAAGGAATTGCATCACGGCTTTGCTGAAAGACTGACGCCCAGCCCAAAGCATTATCAACTACCCTCACCTTTTGACAGAGTCCCATGAATCAAAGAAAAGAAGCAAGGGCCCGCGCAATGGCAACTCAGGTGGAGAAGTGGTTTGCTTGTTGGAGTTCGGGGGCCTAGGATCTTGCATGGGCTGGACATTTATCATGCAGTGTCCATGTGGTGAATTCATAGCGAGGATTGTTTGTAGCTATGGAGTTCTTTAGAAGCATGTGAAGTTTATCATATATAGTTTATCACGGCCTCTCCCACAGAAGTTGGACAATCACTTGTGAAACGAAGCGCCCAATGCACTTCGAAACGAAAGGGATGGCCCTCTCGAAGGAAGCTCCCTCCTTTGCACTAAGCTTTTGCACTAACTCTTGAAGTAAGTGAGCAGAGGATCTTGCTTCGTTTGAAAAAGAAGTACTGCCAGAACTCTAAAGGATCAAGCACTTGACAGCTTCACGAAGCTTCACATTGCTTCACCCTTCATATAGTATAAAGCTATATAAAGCTTTGAGCTTCGCCCCTGCTCAGATTTCGCAAACAAGTACGGGCATGGTCCAGAGGCGAGATGCAGGGCCAAGTTACTTTACAGGGTTGGTCCTGATTCTTTGATGAGCTTGGTTCCGGTTGAAGCAACAGCTTCAAATTAAAGTTGAAGCCAAGGGAGATGTGGAAACTATATATATATAAGCGCGAAATCCAAGCCGCAAAAGTTCAGAGAAGTTCAGAGTATGACAATGAGGTTTATGCTAACGGAATGTTTACCGCCCAGAAAAACGTGCAGGTTTCTACACTTGTGACATGGATTGCTCTCCGTATAGTTGCAGTTTAATCTTGCTGCGCCGAGACCTTTTTGTTTCTCAAAGACCATGGGTGGCCTCAGTTGTGTGGGCGCGCCGAGTTTTTGTACGTGTTGTTGTTGTTGTTGTTGTTGTTGTTGTTGCGAGTTGGCAAGTGTGCGGACATCGGAGAACTTCCGGCCAATCTTATGAATTGTTTTTTGCTGGGTGCGTTTTATATGGATAGGTTATTACAATAAGAATTGTTTGTGCAGGTTTGTTCCGGGGACCCTTTGCTTGCAAGCACTTGGTTGGTGGTGCTTGACCAGGATCGTTGGCCTGTGGTGTTTTCAGCGTTGGAAGAGCACGTAGAGCTTTTGAAGGTGCTTCGGGAATCCAAATTGAAATAGCCTTTGCCTGTCTTGCTGCGGACCATTGAGCGATATGTCCATGGCGCAGTTGCAGAAAGTGTGGAAAGCTGTGCTATTGCTTTGGGATTGAATGGCTCCAACACTGGCGGGTCTTGAGGATGTGCGAATGCAGGAGACCTTGAAGCGGACGGAGCCAGCATCCGAAAGTGGAAGTGTGAAGATGGCCGGAAATGCTGCATTTTTGCATGTAATGAGCTTGGCTTACGCCAAAGCTTTTGGCAAACCGCCAGAGAGCAAACGTCGCATTGAAGGGACCACTGCCTTCAAGCAGGTGCTCCTCACAAGTTGTGTTTGCGCCAGCGCAACCATGCCAAAGGTGTAAAAGTGAAGAAACGCGGCAAGGTGAAAGTCCACAGCGGAGGGTTCGGTGGTTCTGGAAGGTGATAAAGCAGGGAATTCCTGCATTGACCTCTTCCACAGTGAAAGGTAAACACCTTTGGTCCTTTGTGCGTTCGGCCCATTGGAGATGGGAACGCGGAGGCCACAGCTTGCTTCAGGTGACAGGAAAATGTGCGGCGCAGTTTTACAATAATTTTTTTGGGGCAACGTTGCGATGGGCCCCTTGGATTTTTCAAACCTGTTCAGGTGAGCAGGGCTTGCCCGTTCTTTGTTTGGTTGAGGCATGTGTCAACCTGGAAATGCATTCGCTCCAGGTAAACTTATAAAACGCATAATAGGACAACGGAACCTTTTTGACAAGACTATGTTGTAAGGGGCGCACGAAAGAAAACCAAACAACAATTTTTTGACCTCAGACTCATTTGAGAGTTCTTGTTTTGCTGCAGCGAAGCACCTGAAAAAATAGACGTGGGGCAGTAGCGACCCCGCCGGGAGCTTCTGTTGAGTTCATATCCTTTGCCTTCAGGACCGACTTGCATCAATTATCGTCGAGCAGGCGTGTGATTCCCGTTCTTGTGGCCACCGCAAGTGGTCAGACCAACTGTATCAATTTATTCCGACCACGTTGCCTTGGTAAAGGATAAGATGCATGGTACTGGACTGAAAGATACGCATAAACATACACTGCAGGCTCTGTAGCACTTGGAAGAACAGTTTGCTTTCAATCAGTTTGCTATGAGTGACACAGGCAGAAGTCATGGAAGAAATGAAGAGAGAGGAAGAGGCCGCCAAGCGAAAGAAGGACGAGGTTGAAGAAGCATCCGGGAAGGCACGAACCGCATTTTGTTTGTTTGCAATGTGTTACTGGTAGCTTCTTGTTACTACTAGTAAGGCCAGGAGCCCCTAGTAGCTTCTTGCTCCTAGTAGTAAGGCACTTGTTACTACTAGCGTCCTTGTTACTACTAGTAAGGCACGTGTTAATAGTAGCGATGCACTTGCTACTAGTAGCTTCTTGTTACTACTAAGCTACCTTGGTGTTTACAATGCGTTTACATGAGGTCTTGACCCAACATACAGGCAGTTTTGGACCGTAAGGTCAGCGCCATCCCAGACGACCCACCCTTGTGCCAGATACGCCAAATGCTTGATACGCAGAGCTGAACGCCGGGTTGGACAGCGAACCAGGCTGTGATCGAACTTGCATCGTCTCCTGGTGACATTTGGTGAGTAACTGGTTGCTTTGCCTTGTGGTTTAACACCTATGGGTTTGCTAAGAAGGCTGGTTCTGCTCAACTCAGTTTTGTATGGACTGGGTTTGTCATTGTCATTATCCTGGCTTCAAAGGGGAGTCCTTCAAGGTTCTCAAGATTTCTTGAGTTTGTGAGTGAAGTCAGGTGCCTTCCACCTTACAAACAAGGGGTTGGCTCATTAGATCGTTTTAGATCTTAGCGCGTTCGGCTGATGCACTTGAATTCAAAACAGCTTTATGGCGTAATGTGAAATGCGAAACGGCTTTGGGATTGCGCCGAGTCTACCCTCAGACTTCTGGAGTGGCATAAGTTCTCGACCTTTGTGTCATGTGGCTTGCAAGAAAAGACAGCATCCGCCGTTTTTTGCATAAGTGATGCGATTTGGCTGTGAGAATGCAGCAGCTTTGTGTTGGTGGGAGATTACAACGGTATTTGGACCCAAAGAGTACTGAGCAGTTCAGCTGCAGTTCGGTAGCTCATGTCTTCTCGACTCAATTCTTTTTGAAGGAGTTCTCAATTTGCAATGGGGGGCTTTCGTATCCCTGCAATCTTTTCCTGCAGCGGCAACTGCATTCAGAAGCATAGCTAGAAACAAGTGCAATCACAGTAGTGTGATCAAGAACATTCAGGAACTGTTTTGGGGACAATTTCTGGACACACCATTGATCGCATACTTTGATAGATACTCCACGGGTTCGAGACACTCTGAACACTCACAGTTTTGAGATAAGCTCAGCTGTCGGGGTTCTTTTGTTCAACAGTCTAGAAGCAGAGGCACGAACCCCTTGCACCCCCCTCAACCATGCTACACGACAGCAGCCTGTAGCACTATTTGGTTTGAAGCCTTTGTTGCCTTTGTTCCATTCACAATCCTCTTCAGCGGCTTTTTGATTTTGGAAGCATATGGAAGCACCAGTATCAGTTTTTCCACAGCAGTGGCTGACTGCATGATGTGCAGCGAAAGCTGGCCAGAGGATGACGCCGGAAGCACAAGTTTGCCGAAGAAAGTTGAGATTTCATGCAGACACAATGAAACGCTATCACATCCACACTTGATTATTTAATAGCAGACCAGAAGTTATCATGGTAGCATTTCAAGGCAGTGAAAGTACATGGAAAGGCTGCGATCATTGGCACTCTTTGAAGGATGAGAAGATGTCCAACCCTGTTGTTGTTTCCAAGTTAAGCTGCCCAGTCAGATGTCATGAGGTCACACTCAGGCACCATGTTTGTTCCACTTCTTCCATGCAGAGCCATGGAACAAACACTCTGCAGAGTCATGGAGCACATGTCGTGTCTCATTTGCTGTGTCTGTTCACACTGTCTCTTCGACGTTTCCCAGGTGCACGTGGAGCTGTGCCGGATGGTGTGCCCCTGGGGGCGATCCCAGTGTTTGCAGGCCTTATGTGTGCGTTGGGGTGGCCCAGATTGAGCAATCTCCCTCAGCAGCAGCACCCCCCCAAAAAAGGAAGGAGTCATTTTTTTGCAACAGAAATAGTCTCTTGAATCAAGGCGGTGGACATTGGCACGGAGTGGCATCATGTCAGACAGTGTTTATGGCAAAACATGGTTGCGGAAGTAGAGTCTCAGCGTTTGCATGTTAGAGACTGTCTCAACTACACGGAGTATAGATGTGGTACACGCATATCGTGTCTATAGTTACAGTAACTGTTTGTGTGAGCATGTGATTGGACATGTCCAGTGATTGACAGTTTCCTTTTATTCAACAACACCTAGCGGCTCAGCTGATAGCTCCCATGACAAAGCAGAGCAGCAGAGCTTTGAGATGCCATGGACCAATGGAAGGCTGGATAGGTGGAATTGTTGGCAGAATCGCAAGAAGATGCCACGCTGCCACGAAGCATCGACATATGGCGAATCGAAAGGCACCTAAAGGATCTTAAAGGCACTTACTTGTTAATGTATGTAGGACCCAGCTAGGCTACTAGGCTCCCAACTATGGCCCAGCATGACCCGTTTGATGGTGGCAATGATGGCTTGGGCGACTTGGCACGAGAGGAGAAGGCTGCATGCAGACCTTTCTTCTATGACCGAGGAGTACCCATTTGTTTCATTTGCGGGCTGTTCGTTCGACATCGCACTGAAACGGTCCAAGAGGCCCCAACATTGGTCCCAAGGGTCCATCTACCCCTCGCGTCTCCATTTGGGATCGCCTGTGGTGATCCCAGAGACTTCAGTGTCTTTCTTCCTGAGGACATCTCCCATGGCCTTTGGGCGCCAGGAGTACCTCCATACCTGCTGCGCTGCGATCCCTTGTCGCCGAGCCAAGAGCTGCCTGCGGGAATTCAAGAGATGTTTTGTTGATTCACGCAAAAGGCTGTTCTTGTCCCCAAATTGAGAGGCTTGGGCATGGTTCCATTAATATTTGTTAAAATTAAGTTCACATTTAATTCTAGAATTAATTCAACTTTAGCTTTAGCTTAAATCTAATTAAAGATTAATCTAGTTCTAATCTAATTCTATTTCAATTATAATTGAGTTTCAATTTATTGTTTGCTTCCAATTTATACTCATTTATTTCTAATTACTACTACCTTCTTGCTACTAGTAGCGATGCACCGGTACTAATAGCGATGCCCTTGTTACTAATAGATTCTTGCTACTAGTAGTAAATGCATATACAGCAATTGGAGATTCCACTAATTGAGATGGTTTCGCTGAACAATACCTATTATTCGATTGCCCCTCTGTTGTTGGGGGATGGAGTTGGGTGCAAGTAGTACGGTGTTTATAGATTTACAATGTTGTTAGAAAGGGATGGTTTGGGTTTACATCGGAGTATGTTAGAGTAATAGAGTCTTGCGGTTCTTAAGTGTTACTTCACTCCAGAACCCAGCCAGTTCTCCTTTTTGTCTTAAGATATCTTTAGGATTATAGATCTTGATCCGAATTTTTAAGATCCCATCCTTTCCTGGTCTTTTCCTTTCCATTCTCAACCGACTGTTATGACACAACGCTGACAGCTGAGGTTCTTCAAAGAGGAAGTCCCTTTCAGCATTCCAGCACCGCGTCTTTGTTCAGGAGCTCGCTTCCTACCAGTTTCCTTTGCCATCCCAAAGGAGGACAGGGAGTTCACGTGACAAATTGATGAAAATTCTTGGTGCTGAGAGTCCGGTTGCCTTGAACATGAATCACCCTGAGCTTTTCTCTTTCTCTCGGCGATTCGTGCCTCCCCGGCGATTTGAGGGCTTTTCGTCACACACCCAGTGACTGCTCACAGGATGTCTTGCCCTGTGTGCCAGAGAAATTCATGGATTTTGCTCCGCTGGTTCCAGGCTTAGAGGACTGACTCAGTTTTTTGGAAGACATTCATGGCACTTTGCTATCAGGAAACGCGGTTTAATTGTCCTTCAGAAGACATTCAAATTTGATTTGTGGATTGCCCATCATGACCCTATGATTTGCCACCAAGTCAAGCAAGTCAATCGTAGGAGTATTATGTCAGCTACAGAACTTGTCCGAAGGAGTCTTACGTTTTTCCCATGACGTCATATGGAGAGATGGAGTACAAGAGGACAGTCACCGTGTCTTCGAGAAAGGTTTGGCTTTTCCATGAACTCGTGCATTGAGGCCCTCAATGTTTCGAGCTGCACTTGTGGGGTCCAGGTATTGACAAGGAGGTGATAGGCGGTGTTTGACTATGACTTGTTTCGCGCATAGCAACTCCGATGAGTTACATGTAAACAGGGAAGTCCGACCGCTCAGTAGCAGTGTTTTCATTCTTGCCCAGCTCATCCCATACACAGTGGAGCCAAGTCCATGCCACACCTTGGCAGCAGAGGAAACAGTCCAATAAAACATGACCCAGAGGACAGGTCATTTTTGGTTGGTCGTTTGAGACTTGGGTGTGGTATCCCATACTCCAAACATCTCCAAACCGTTCTATGCCTTTGCGCCTGGCTTACAATACATAAAAAAGCACAGCCGTTCGCTTTGTGATTTGCTTTTGTCTTCCAGACCATGAGGAAAGCATAGGAAAGCAAGATTCACCAGTCTCGCTCCAGGATGTACCGAGAATCACGGTTTGGCGTAACAAAGCGCCGAGCAGGCACTTGCTTCTGACATGGTTAACATTGGTTAACATGTTTTGTCCATGTTGTTTGTTGATTTTTGAGACCAACATGTCAAGGTGGGTATTGAAGGTTGCTTTTGAACACCTGGGAAGGGTAAACACAAACGGTTTCCAGGCTGGGAAACGATGCGCATCTATGAGATCCTGGCATGCGGCTCGGAGCCATGGCAAACATCAAATTGACGGCGCGGCAAATTGTTTCAAGTTGCTTTATGTGAGTAGGGATCGAGCATGTTCTTTTGGATTCGCACTTAGGCATCTCAAACAACTCACGTGTGAGATCCTGTAAGCACCAGACTGCCATAGATGCTAAATGAACCAATTCATTCTGATAGATTGCAACCTCCATGAAGGCTTGGCAGGGTGAGTTTCACAACATGTGCTTTAAAGGACATCACAAGCACCTTCAGTGAAAAAGGTAATGCCAAAGAGCAGTCCGATTTTGATTGATTTCTTCCCAATGTCGTCCATGTCGTCCATGTCTTATCGCCATCGCCCTGCCGTTCGCCGAACAGAGTGTTCTGCCAGAGGTTCCGTACATCCATGCCGCAAACGAAATCCCGGATGCTGCACTGGTGTATGTGAACAAGACGCTTCTTAGGCCAGATCATGTGAGCGGTTAGCTTGACAAGATGTTTTTAGTGCAATTCTCCAAGACATTCCAAGACTATCTTGTTGACAACCCCCGATTTTGGGATCTTTTGTCCAAAGGAAGCCCTGTCAAATGAAGATCCTTTGTGCACAGATTGTTGAAAGAGGAGTGAACAGTGAATTGACCAGATCGTTGGATTGTCATGGCAATTGGGCTGTTGGCACACCCGCAAGGCAAGCCCAGCAATTAGTGGCGAATGCGGGCCAACCACCGCGAGATGCCTTCAGCACGCCTACAGTGGACAGTTTGGATTTGACCAAATATGTAGCACTGGCAGCTGCCTGGCAGCAAGAAACACAAGCAGCTAAGCAACTTGACTATCGAAGCTGCAGGTACGACAGTAGGGAAGAACTTCAAACCAAACAACTAGAAAACAACATCAACATGCCAAGAAACGTTGTACCACGAGGATACCACCGGATGACGACCCCAAGGCTGAGCTCTTGCGCCACACGCAGCAGCACCTCACCACAGAGGTCAAGTTTGGAAAGCAGGGCACTGCATTGTCTAGGACCCTAGGAATATTGCTGATATAATTCTATATTCTGTATATGGCATCATAGAATGAATCATGAAAGGTTGTATGTGGGAGTCAACCAGAACCATACACGCTTGACAAACTTGTTCACTTTGTGTTCCAGTCTGCGGTCAAAACGGGGTTTGCCTCCTTTTGGCAGGGATGGTCATCCATCTCTTGATGGCACTTCAATACAACCACAACAGCAACCCTGTCAAATGAGTTTGACAATGGCACACATGGATGCTGAAGTGCGACTCAGCACATGTCAACACATAGCCCACTGTTTCTTGCAGAGTTTTTCTGGTACCTACTGCTTAGCCCCTACAACGTGCGTGATTGTCACACTCAGAGTTATATGAGCTCGGATGGACGGCTTTTGACAGGCGTTGGCAAAATATATTTTGACGTCCTATGGAAAGCCGGTTTCCACTGCACTCTATGTCTCAGGATGCTTCCTGCCAGCAAGCAATTCTCCTTGCTTTCGCCTACAATACACTTTGGCATGGTTTGCACCAGTCCACCATGTTTTACCGATGAAGGTGAACTTGCTCCTTATATTATGCTCCGCCCTTTGCGTCCCAAAAAGATCAAAAAGGGGTCATACTAAGGGACACGTTAATATGAAGGAATATTCTCAAATTGAGTGGTCTTATATCACCTGTGCCAGAGGTGCGTTTCTTGCTGGAGGAGGAGTCCTCTAGGACTATCACAAACTTGTTTTTTAGCACCGATTGCATCACATCGTGCTGGCTAGGTTTTCATGGAGACTATCTGTGCTATGTGTGCCCTTAGTTGCACATTCGTGACATTCGCTGATTTGGCGCGACCACATGGTCAGTATGGACTCGCGGATGTTTTGCGGACACACTTGTGGAAATTCATGTTTAGCAGCAGAAGCAACACTTACCCCCCATCATCCTGCACCCTAGAAGGCTCGTTTCAAGCTTGCAGTACAGGTCCAATCTTTCCCATGTGTCAAGCTACGGTTGAAAAAGGTGTCAAAGAGAAGCAAACCAGAAGCAAGTTCTTGTGTGACCTCATTTTGCTTAATTACATTGACAATCATTGACATGACATGTTTTTTGTTAACGTTTCACTTTCTTCAGAGTTGCTTTTGATCAATCCAAGGGCGTTGCATGGCCTGCGCAGAGTGCTGGGTAATAGATTGGTGCCTCGGAACGGCATGACATGCTGTATTTGACCGTTGACCTGCAAGGATCGGCTGATGCTTGAAGGATCTGCAGCCTTTGTGCGAAATCGATCTTTATACTATAAATTAGGCTATAATTATATATATTTTAGTTGGTGATTGAACTTGCCAGTGAACTTTGTGACTGAGGTGGATTATCCATTCTTGGACTACATGTACATGCCCAATGTAGCCCCCCTTGCAGCCCATCAACCGCAAGACGACATGCCCACAGACGCAGTGCACTGTCCTGAAACCTGGATGCAATTCCTGAACCTCTAACCAAGATAGGTTTTCTCAGAAGATGTCACATCAAATATGCATATAGACTGATGAAGCTGCAGCAATGCAAGCTATATACAAATGGTCCTTACTATGTTTTTTGCCGCTTTGGCATCTCACTACTTGGTGCAGCCACAGGCTCTGGAAAACCTATCGCCGAGACTTGGGTGTTTCTAGTCACGTAGAGAAACACGACACATGAGAATCCCTTGGCTTGGTTTTTGCAGGAGCATTACGCCCAGTGGGTTTGTATCACGTTCTCGCTTCTTCCCAGTCGTCTTGAATCATCGACCCACTGGGTAATGAAGAATCACCCTGATCCGGACGGGTTTTCTCAGGAGCGGTGGCCTTGGCGAAGGAGGCGCACCACGTGGCGCACCACGTTTTGCTCCTGGGTCGCATCCGACTTCCTGAGGGTCGGAGGTTTTTTATTTTTTCAGAAAAAGCTGTGTGCTGCATGGTGCTGCCAATTCTCATGAAACTGCCTTCGCTGCGGGAGCAGATTCCTCCCTGAAGTCTGCTTGCTGATCCTTGCTGGGCTATGGCCTGGCTGAGGCCATCAATAGCCTGGGTGCCAATGTGCCAGTCTACGGAGGTGGCTTTTCTTATGCATACCGCTTGGAACACTTGCAAGACCTGAACCGTTCTCGAGCTGCGACCTGGCTCAAGACTGCGACACGGGGCGCCGAGCGTGGTCCGAGAGGTAGCCCGTCATCACCACTAGGGACTTTTATTTATGATACGCTATAGTAATTATGTATACACAGTATGTTATATTTACAAAATAAGCAATTTGCCCGGTGCATGACACTATTCATTCATCGTTGTTGAGCAAGCTCTCTCTTGTTATTTTCATTTGAGTTCAGGTCGAGCATGACCAGCAGGTTTTAGGGCTACCGATTGGGATGAGCCAAGCCAAGGCGATCAATGCACAGGTGTCGAGACGGGAGCACCTTTGGTCCCAATTTAGGTGATCATTTTGCACAGCACAGGATCTGGCGGGCTGTTGGGCTGGCAGGGCTCAACACTCTTAGAGATGTTCCTCGGAACAATGCTCTATTGATGGATATTTGAAGCTTTGCATTCGATTGTATGTACCTCACTTTCTGTGTCTTTTGCTCGTTTATATGTTAGATACCAGAAGCCGATTTCAGATCGATCGGGGGTTGTCCTGTGTTCAGTGTGTTCTGTCCATATTGTCCATCTCTCTCAGCAAACAGTTGCAGGGCTTAGGTCTGGAGTGGGATTTCAAAAGCATTCGAATGCTGTCCCCTCGCCACCAAGAACGCTCCTTTTACAAGGCCTCGTCTATAGGCCATAGATCCTAAAAGTCGACCACTCCTTTCTGCTACTTCTCTTCTTGGAAGGCATTCTATTTTGACTGTTCATCGGCGCGAACAGTGCTTCCTTTACCACAGGTTCGATGTGGTGATTCTGCCAAGCGCTTACCTGGCCTTGGGAAATGGCTTCCGGGAGGCTGGAAGAGGTGGATGCCGTTGATCCAACATTCACTAGCATGTTATGCAAATCTCTAGATTCAATGACATTTATAAAATTCCCGAGGACCTTGAGTTTCCCTAAGGTAGTTTTCTTCATGTTTATTCAATTTGGCGAGTGCTTTCCGTTGCTTTTCTTGTCCCAGGTGGGTTGCGCACCTCCCAAAACGGCCAAAAGGGACCGCCGGGAAACACGAACCTTCCTACCAGCTTACTTCGACTGATTTTTGATTTCCAGGCAATGCATGCCACCCTTGGTTCAAGGTGCTTTTCCACGGGGTAGCATCCAGCAACCAGTTGTGGAGGCAGGACTTTAACCACAGCACAAGTACAGGTAGGCGCTTTTAAAACTAGATCATTGTAAGTTCTTGGAGCATGCGTAGAGCGTGTCATGTTTCCTGAACACATGTCACTAGCCAAAATGGTTTGCCATTTTGGCTCAGGAGTTGGGTACTACGGTCTTGGAAAAACAAAAAGCACACACCTTTATGTTGGAGAAAGATATTATCTACAATTTGCAATCAATTCCAGGTGCAGCTGCTCGTGAAGCATGTCTTGAAGCACTATGCTCCACATCAGATCATCATCCTTGTCCGCATCTCAGAGATGGGTCTTGGATAACCTGCAATCCTGCTCTGACACTTTTTGCTGGCTCCCAGCGAAAGACATGTTGCTAGTGAATACTGCAGACAAACAAAAACTGTTTGGTGAGTCCTGTCCTTGTGGTGATGTGGTTGTCATCACTCGGGATGATAGTCACCGCAGTCACCAGTCTTCGCTGAGTTCTTTTGCTGTACCTGGTCTCTCAATCTGATGGATCAAGGACCAACATCAAGCACACCACTCAATTGTTGCCTCAGGACGGTCGAGATCCGGAGAAGAACAATGTCCTGCCTGAAGGCATGGTTGAAGGGTTGGTAACGGTAAGGTTGAGCTGTTTATCCACGCTGAGTATCTGATGCTAGCTGTGAATTTGGCATGCCATTCAGGCAGGTTGAGGTATATAGAGAATTCGCACTGCATGGAGTTGAAAACCAACCTCCTTTCTCTATACTCAGCTGCCCAGCTGATCTCCTATTTGCTGTGAGGTGCAGCTGATTTATCCAAGCAAGGCTTCTTGTACTTCCTGAGAGAAGCCCCGACATGGTGTGTGGAAGAATGAACCACGGCCAAAGAAGCCGCGGTTCGTTCATAATGTTCATAAGAAAAGCATCGTTCAAGCGATGAAACGAACGTGACAAACATAAGGCCTTCGAACGGGGCGACAGGTGCTCCGGTGCCGCTCACGTCGCCCAGGTGCCGAACACCGGCGCCTGCACGGGCAGCGTGTGTGTCGAGGAGTGCGTTGGCTGGAGTCTCGGACAGTTGTTCAACATGGACATGTAAGGCGGAGTTGCCTACAGCTGCAGGTCAGAGGGTCTCCAGATGTGGGTTCCGTTTGCATGGTTGTGTCGTGTGTATTTAGATGACTTGGCGTGCGCTTGCCACGTCTCAGATTTCACAAGATCTTAGATCAAGGAGCTGTGGCACAAAAAACTATCGTGTGGATTAGGTTGGTTATTGGGTTTCTTTCTAGATTATCAACATGGGTTCATGGTTAGAGAGTCGGAGCTTTGACAATCAAATCATATAAAGAATCTACAGTAATCTGTCTCCAGACATAGGCTGATGTGCTCCGACTCTCGACAAGGAAATGGAACCAGATTTCCCTGACGAGGCAACACGACCAGCGTGGAAAACACCAATACAGCAGAGCCGGGCAACCTAGTTAGCATTGTGAGACTCAGCATGCCGAACGACATCAAGACAACAGAATACAACAGACGTGACATTTGTGTCATTCCTTACAGTAGTTACTCGGAAGCAAGTGAGCCGACGAAGTAAATGGTCCTGCAGGTCTATTGAGCTTCGTTTGAACGTTTCTTAGGAGACACTTCAGAGCAGAAGCCTAATCTCATGTCCTAGTACAACCTAGTTTTGCACTGGACAGAACATCCATGGCACATGACCTGACAACTGACCTTCACTTTTGCATCCATGCACGATACCTGTAAGACCTGCAAAATATTCGATTCATGCTGAGATTCCCTGTGATGATGCTGGTGATCCCAGCCACTGTCCTGACGATCTTGTTCCTTTGCTGTGCCCTGCTTTGTGGACGCTCTTTGCTGAGGACGATCCACTGATAGGTGTGTTTGGCACATTGTACACCTAGTTACTAGATCCTACTATATATACATACCTTGGCACGTTATTCCAAAAGACTGTCCTGCACAGCCCTTGCAGTAGAGGAGTGCTTGTGGTGGCAAAATAAGTGGCATGGCACCAAGCTGGCCCGCGGTGCGCTTGAAGAGGAGACTTTGTAGTTTGAGGTAATGAAATAAGTACATGGACTTTCTTCATTTAGGCTATTGCAGCTCAGTTTGAGCTGGACAATTCACTGGAAGAGTAGAGCCCTTGGAAGCAGAACACGGTACATGGAACTGCTCCATGGAGCGAACGGAGAGGAAACCATCGCCGCCCGTGCCCAGCGATCCTTTGGCGCGACAGTTGCAGGTTTGCCGACAGATCGTTTGGGGAGTCTTTGAAACCCTAATGAGTTGCGGTTAACACAATAACAATGTTGGGGTTAACCCTAATGTTGGGGTGCATCTAATGTTTTTAGAAAATAACTCCACTGGTTTACATTGTTTAAAACACAATAACATGGTTTAATGGATCATATTGTGATGATATCAGTCCTTTTGTGTGAGTTGAGCAAAGGATCCTCTTGTAATTCTAGGAAGGGTGGACTTCTGGACTAGCGAACCAAGGGGCATGTTCCAGTTTCAATCCAACTGCAGTCCATTGAAGATGCTAACCTTCCGTTTCGATGGACTCATTTGCGCCAACCTCTTGAAGAAATGAGACGATGCATTCTGTAAACTGCTTCGGCTACCCAAAGGCTTTGGAACATCCGGGCATCAGATGTTCTGGAGTCTGAAGCAGCAGTCCCTATCAACAGGCCACCGAGCATTGAGTCTTCAGGCGGCCACCGAGCTGGCGGCTTCTGCACCAGAGGTGGAGAGCCGAACGAAAATCGGAAGGAAACGCGATGAAACGCGTGCGACGCATGTGTACAAAGCCTGCGACTTGCACTGAACTTTGGACTTGCGTTAGGCTCAGTACATGTTTGATGTTCAGAGTCGTCC